TGGTGTGGACTCAGCTGTGGGGGAGGTGGATATGACTCCTCTAAACCTGCTCCCTGGGCACAGAGGCTGTCCCTTCTTCCTTGTCAAAAGGGCAGGGTACTGGAGGGGGCCGCTGGCCTTATGCCTGGACCTGTCAGGGGCAGAGGGGGGGGTGTACAGGGGGAGCCTACAAGGAGGAAGTCTGTGAGGGGGTGGGTCTGTCTTCACCAGCCACTCCCCTTTCCTGACCCCAGTTTGTTTCAGGGGAGAAAGGGCACCTGACCTTGGCCCCGCAGGTGACCTCTCGGGATCAGTTTCTTCATCTGTAAAATAGGAGAGGGGGGGGGCTGGTGACTTCTAAGGGGTTTTGCTACTGAACTAAGCCCAAAAGGGAGACACTGGTAGCAGCCACCTCCCTTGAAAGAGATGACCCCTGCCTGCACTGGACTCTGTCCTCAAGAGGCCTGAATGGAGCCTAAGGCATGAAGGAGAGGGTCAGAGATAGTCATTTAAAGCAGAGCCCCTCCCCCATCCCCATCCCCAGCCACCCCCAACCCCCTACCTGGCAAACCGCTGACTTTGCCCACTCTTTCTTTACTGCTCCACAGGCCTTCCCTTCCTCCCATTAGAACTGAGGGGGGTGGGGAAGATGGGGCGGGGGAGGGGGCAGGAGTGTCTGCGGAGCTGCTGGGGATCATCAGTGTGGGAAGGGGCTTGGGGACACTGAGGTGTCCACAGCAGAAAAAAGCTGTGTTTAGGCACAGGCCTGGTAGATTTGTTACTGAGATAAACACTCAGTGTCGTAGTATCCTTTACGGAGGGGTTAGGAGGTCAGAATGTTATACATTAAATCCTAGAATAGATGTGCGTGTGGTGGGGGGCGGGGGCGGATAATAGGGAGAGGGCCAAACTCCTCATGCTGCCCTGAAGGACCCTGTCCAAGGTCACCCAGGGAGCTAGAAGCTAAGCAGGACTAGAAGGAGGTCTCCTGGGACCTCATCCTCCTCAGAGGTGCCATCCTCCTGGCCACCTTGGGCTCATCTTTAGGGCTCTGACCTATGTCCCTGAGTTTCAGAATTGGCATGGGTCATGTGGGGCAGGTTCCAGCCCCCTCCCCTGTCCATCTTCTCCCACTGAACATTCCTAGGCTGTGGGGTGGACTTCATCCAATGCAGATAAATGGGCTGGCAAGTGGTTTGGAGGCTTGTTGGTGTACAAAACCTTATTTAAAAGTCCTGATTCTATCAAGTGTCCATTGAAGAGCAGACTTGGAGGGAAAGCTGGGTAGTAAAGGGGAATAGAGATAAATTGGAAGGTGCCCTCCCACCCAGCCGATCAATGCTACTGCCTTCTCTCCCCAGTAGCCTCATAGAGTCGTTCCAACTTCCTTAGGTGACAGAGAGGACACTGGGGCCCACAGGGGGAGGGACCTGCCCAAGGGCACACAGAACCGAGGGCAGAGCCTGGATTAGAACCCAGGCCTCCTGCCGCCCTCCCTCCAGCAGGCCTCGCTGCATTGCGCTGCCTCTCTGCGGCTCATCTGCGCAGAGACCAGCAGGCTGCCCTCCCTCCCTCCCCCTCCATCTTTGCTCTGCTGCTGCTGCTGCTGCTGCTGCTGCTGTCACCTTTGTTTACCCCTCCCCCACAGGGGCCCCAAGCCTCCTCAAAGTGGTGGGATTTACATTTTTTTTTTGGTAGATTTTAGGCCAAAATCCTGTATGTGTGTGACATTGTATATGTGTGTGTGAAAGAAACGCTGCAGGTGTGAGAGGATCTGTGCAAGAGAGATTCTTTGTGGCTGTGAGAGACTCTTCATGTGTGTGAGAGTATGTGAATAAAAATATGTGTGAGGCTCAGGGTGTGACAGTGGTGTGTGTGATGAGACTGACTGTGACATCCTGTGTCTCTACCAGAGAAATTCCGTGTGAGAGTGAGAGACAGATTGTGTGTGTTTTGAGAGATGGACTTAGTGTGTGAGAATGAGACTGCGTGGGGGAGAGTGTGTATATGAGGAAAAGAGACT